CTACCCACCTGAAAATGTCCTAACGGTAACTACCCACCTGCAAATTGTCCTAACGGTAACTACCCACCTGAAAATGTCCTAACGGTAACTACCCACCTGCAAACTGTCCTAACGGTAACTACCCACCTGAAAGTGTCCTAACGGTAACTACCCACCTGAAAATGTCCCAACGGTAACTACCCACCTGCAAATGTCCTAGACTGTATACCCTAAACCCCTAATACCCCCGTATAAACCCTAAAGAAGCTGACTGTTTGGACCGCCGGATCTCCCCTTGATCCTACCGCAGGTGCGAGTGCGGAAAAGCGCTGGGACATCCCAAAATGAGCCTTTCGCCACTCCATCCCAGGTGTAGTCTAGTATACATTATACTGTATTATAGTATATTACAACATATTATAGCTTATTCCAGGTATAGCATATTATATACTGTACTTGAGTATGCTATATTATAACATATTATAGTTTATTCTAGTATCTTATCCCGGGCACGGAAGAAGAAATGTCCAAGCCGATGGCCTTAGGTTCAGGGTCAAGCGCCCAATGCTTTCGAACCACTGCGAACAAAGTCGTCAGCACGAGCACATCGGCTCAGGGGCTGCTCATCTCGGCTACCGTCTGACACTTTTTGGCTAATCAAGATTCAGACTTCTTGCTGAGAGGACCATGATCCGACTGCCCGTGGCTATCCATACAATCCTTGAGGACCATCACTGTGATCATCATCATCATCGCCAGTATCATCCTTCTTGCTTTGATGTCGGCTCCCCTAGCGGCGACTGCTCTGTCAGGTTGCGAGTGTCACCATAAAAGTTCACAACGGCGGTAGCAGCAGAGGTGTAGCAGCGTAGCAGTAGGAGGAAGAGCGGTGAGGCCATCAGTACAAAGCCTTACCCAGAGAACCCAATACACCTTAATTAAGGAATATACCTTAAATTATAGGGGCCCTAATATTATGATTTAAGGCATATTCCTTAATTAATGGGTATTGGGTTCTCTGGGTACCTACCTACTCCTGCTCTTCCGAGCACACAATTCTGGCCGGGCAGGCAATCCTCCGTCGTGTCACACAGCCTAGTGCACGCGATCGGGCTGCGGATGTCCGCTTTGGGCGTGAGGCTGAGAGGGTCAGAGGACATAGAGGTTGCAGGGTTCCATGCGTTTTCCTACCTTTGGGGGCTCGGGTGCAGGGGCCCGCAGGCTTCGGGCTGAGGCTTCTGAGCTCAGTTCAGCTCTGAGCGCAAACCCACAAGGAACCCTAAACTTCAAAAAAACCTAAGGGACCAGGATCCCTGTGAAGTCAAGAAGTTGTATCGAAGCCGCTGACACAAAAGCTAAACGCCTAAAAAAAAGTCTGTGAACCTAAAAAATCTCGAATCCAAGCCATGGTTGCCATGCCGCACTACCATCACGCATATCTGGGCATCCACGGCACAGGTTCTGAGGCAGGGTTTAAGGTTGGGGGTTCAGGGTTTAAAGTTTTTTCGGCTTAGGAATTAGGGTAGATCTCTAAAGTAGGGTCCCTTTTTAGGTCCCCAATACAGTACGGCACCCTCATTAGAAGGACCCCCAAAAGGGACCCTAATTTAGAGAACTACCCATTAGGGCTTTGGGATTGACAGGCTTGGACCCCAAGCATCGACACGGCTTCTTGTTCGAAGCGTGATGGCTGCCCATGAAGATCTGACATAGCCGCAGCCCACACATGATGTGAAATAGCGGGGAGAACCTCATCCCTGAACCCTAAACTTCCCAAACAGTCAAGCAGCAACCCTGAACCCAGAAAATCCTAAAAAGTCAAACAACCCTGAACCCCAAAATTCCCAAAAAATGTCAAACAACCCTGAATCCCAAAAAACTCCAAAAAAGTCAAGCAACCCTTGAAGCCCAAAATTCCTAAAAAGTCAAGCAACCCTGAACCCCAAAATTCCTACTAAAAGTCAAACAACCCTTTGAACATCCAGCAACCCTGAACCCCAAGACTCCAAGAAAAGTCAAAGTCAGACAACCCTTGAAGCCCAAATTCAAAAAAAAAATCAGACAACCCTTCTAAGGCCCAAGGCCTGGAAGACCGTAACTTGAGGGCTTGGCTGCATGCAGCGGTCGACGTCCAAGCAGATGGCCGCCTGGCCACCGCGGAAGGACCTCGGTTTCTCAGGGTCTAGGGTTTACCGGGGGTTGCTGTCAGGCTCTCTATGAGAGTTTCGACTCTCACACCCGCACAAGGCAGGCAAGGCTCCACAATGAGAGCTTAGGGCTTAGAGATGTAGGTTGTTATGAGAGTTTAGGGTTTTTTTCCTGTAGGGTTTGGGCTTGCAAGTTTAAAACGGGATTCAGGGTTCAGGTCTAGGGACGGCAAATCACGGCAGGGTTTCAAGCAGTCTCAGTTTGCCACTCTGTTGGTGACAAGCAGTTTAGGCGGTGGGGGGGGCCTCAACCCTAAACCTAAAAGAGGGGTGTTGCAGCTCATGGCTCAAAGCTCCCACTGTCGCTGAGTTCAGACTCCCCCAAAAGAAGGAACCCCCTTCCTAAGGTTCGACATGTTGTTTCGTCCCAATTACTTGGCCTATGGCCGGCATGATTTTTGTCCTCACCCCATACATCGAAACTGGGATCCAAGAGCCCTGACGGCATTCTTTTGGCTCACTTTCGGCTCTTCTTCTGCTTGCCACCGGCACGTGCCGCAGCTTCAACCTCAGGCGGATCGGAGAGGGACTGGAAGGTGCCCTGCGCCGGGTTCATGACACTGCTGTACAGCGTAATGCCCTTCTCAAAGATAGGGTACTTCCAGAGAATTGCCCAGAGGTCGGGCTCTTCCGGGAAACCCCGCTGCTTTTCGGCAGCTTGCAACATGGACTCGGCGAGCTGACAGCGAACCAGGGACTGCTGCGTGTCGTTGGCCGGATCCGAGTCCCAGTGATCCATATTGGCTTGGATCAGATATGGAGACTCCTCAGGGACAGACTGGGACGTCAGCCAGTGGGAAACACATTGACATGGCAACCGCCTCTCATACTGCATGCTCTGCATGCGAAGACTCACGCAGATACGTAGATCAAGGCCCATCCCCTAAACCCTAAACCCTAAACCCCTAAACCCTACACCCCTAAGCCCTAAACTCCTAACCCCTAAACCCCTAAACCCTAAGCCCTAAACCCTTCAAGGAGATCCCTCCCAGCCTCCAGCTCCCGCCTGGCCACTTCCCCACACGGCGCGTTCCGAGTCACCTGCACGGCCTCGCCGAGCGCTGACACCACCTGGACGTGCTTGTTTTGGTGAACCGGCAGGAGGGACCAAGGCGTATAGGGTTTAGGCTTTAAGGTTTAGGGTTTGGGGTGTAGGGTTTAGGGTTGTAATGCAATACAGTATAAGATGATACATATTATATACTATAACATCAGCCGTCGAAGTCTAGAAGACGTGCCTGCATCCTCCACGTTGGGTACACGCCTCTCTGCCTGCCTTGAAGCGGAATACCCGTGAACGTTGTATTTGCGAAGGAGCCCTGCTTGGAGGTTCACGGTCAGTTATACGTCGGGCTATAAATAAGCAATATAACTAATATAGGGGCCTTAATAATTAGAATAGGGTTTTGGGGGTTCCTTATTATAATTATAGTATAATATACCCCAAACCCTATTCTAATTATTAAGGCCCCTATACTATACTTATGACCCATGTTACAGGACTTACAACCCCACTTATAACTACCCATGCACCTCCAAGTACCGCACAACAACCAACAGTATTCGGGGAACACAGAGGCACAATAGGTCATCCTCAAACGAGGCTGCTCCTTTTGCTTACAGTGGGAATAACTTGAGAAAGTATTCAGGCTTATATAGCACCACCCCAATGTCCTAAAGTCCCTGAACCTCTCACCCACACCCAGTTCTCCCGAAAGCCCTGCAACCCCGACCCGTTTTGCTGCAGGCTTGCAACCCTGACCCGAAACCCTAAACCTAAACCCTAAACCCCTACACCCCTACACCCTGGGGCCACCAGGCAGTAGAACGGCGCCATGGAGGGAACCGAGGCGACGAACTGCACGAAGTCGCTGTAGGAACGACTCTGCTCGAGGGCCAGCCTCGCGGGTTTAGGGTTTAGGGTTTAGGAGGGGGGGGGGGAGGGGGCATCATCTTCCTAAAGGGCTGCCAAAAGGGGCTCTAAACAAGGTTCCTTTAAGCCTTGCTATAAGGTTTTCTAGAAGGGTTCCTATAAGGGTTCTGCTAAACGGGTTCTACAAGTAAGCTGTATACGGCTTACTATACGGTTTGCTAAACGGGTTCCTAAAAGGGTTATTATACTGGGAGGTACTGTAAGGAGAACTATAAGGGTTGCTAGAGGGGTTAGCACCATCTTGATGGTTTAGGGGTCGTCTGGGGGTTTGGAGGCTCCAAAGTTAGATCGGACGGCAGTGACACGAAGAGACACAGGTGAGCCCAAGGTAAGTCAAAGAGTTAAAAGCAGATAAGATCGGGCAGGGATAAGATAACAGACCATGTAAGACTGGACAAAGCAATAAGACGGCAGAAGATAGGACGAGAGACCACTCAAAAAAGATTATGGCTTAGGAACATGACATGCAAAGATGAAGACCGGGACAGAGACAGTACCAAGACAGCGGCAAAACCAAGCACCCGGACAAGACACCACAATCTACGAATTGAACACGATAGGCCTGCAGAGCAAGTTAAACTTGAAGCTGGAGATGCGCATGAAGGCGACACGAAAGACGGGTTCCTTGGACACAACAACACAACAGCACATGTATACGGCTTACATGTGTATGTATATGTATGTGTATGTGTATATATGTATATACAAATATGTGTATATATATATATATGTATACTTATTTATTTATTTCTCTTTAGATCTATATCAAAAGCTTTTATGTATTACTTTATGCATGTGTGTAGGTATGTAAGTGCGTGTATGATGCATGCATGTATGTGTATATATATATACACACATATACATGTCTGTCTCTGTGTGTGTGCGTCCGTGTGCCGTAGCTAAGACTGGGGTAAGAACAAGCCAGGATGATAAGAAATGGCGAGACAAGGCCAGACCAGACTAGACTAAGAAGAGAAAACAACAGATCAGGTCAGCTCAGACCGGATGCGGCGAGACTATACTATATGAAGATCAAGGATGAAGAACACGGCTAAATCAGCGTTAAAGTTGCAATCAAGGCCTTAAAGCTTGTCAAGATCAGGTTGAGAACGCGATCAAGATTTGAGGTTAACATCCGATACAGTGAGATAGCCCGAGAGCCAGGGAAAAGCGAGGCATGCTGAAGCAGAAAAATAGGAAACGCAAGACAGAGATCCAGCTCCTGCCTTTCATTCAGCTGTTCGTGCGGCACCCTGCTGGGCCACTCCGGCACTCAAACACCAAACCTTGCACCGCAACGCCAAATACATGTGCTCACCCTCAAATCCTATCTCAAAGCAAAAAAGGCCCCAGTCTTGCGTTCATCACAGCTTCCAACTAGTAAACCTGCATCCAGAAAGAGTGCACAAAGACAAAAATCAAAGCATAACCCATCCTGACCACGCAGCCAATGCGTCATTATGCCCGGAAGTTTACCTGTTCGGCTCCGATGACGACTGCTACGATGATCATCATTGCCACTAAGACTATGACAATGATAGCTGCTACCACTCATTCTCTCTCCATCCACAAGTGTCATCATGTGTCTGTGTCCTATTGAAAACTAGGACCCGACAGACGACCCTGTCTGAGGGTCTTGCTCTGGGGCAGCCACTTCACTTAGGGTTTTGGGTTTTGGGTACAAGGCAACGGCTTCTAGGTATTCAGGTGACACCAGTCAAAACGCAGCCTGGAAGTGCCAGTCCGCCCGGTGCACCATCAGAAACCCTTTTGCAACAGGCTTTCCACGTCGCCCGGAGTTGGAGCAAGCAGCCCTAAACCCTAAACCCTGACCTTAGACTCCGAACCCTGCAGGCCTCAAGCTCTTAGCTTGAACCCTCCAAGATTCTACACCCAACCACACCTCTACCCTAAACCCAAACCGGACCTACTTCCCAAACAGTTCCTGGCATCCTTCCCCCTTGAAAGAAACTCAAAAAAATAATAATAATAACCTCGGGAGGCGCAACCTCACGGCCAGGCCCACGGGCAAAGGCAGTTCGGTGCTCTCCGAGCCTTCGCCCTGCTCCTCTCTGGAAAAGCTACGGAGTTTGGGGCTTTGGGTTGAGGATTTGGAGTTTGGGGCTTTTGGGGCTTTAGGGGCTTCAGGGATGTACGGGTTTAGGGTTCGGGTTTAGGGTTGTAAGGTTGAAGAAGATTCTAAAGCTCGCGCATTGCTAGCAACCTTGTCAACACTGGCATTCTTCTTGTTGTTGTTGTCGTGCTACATGGTACCATGCTCTTGCTGCGGGTAGTGGGATCTCTTTGTCTGTCCTCGAAAGAGTTCACGGTCCAGGGGGTTCACAAGGCCAGGTGATGCGGGCTTTGTGTTCAGGACAGCGGGATCCGTCGTGAGGTTCAGGCCGAAATGGCATGCCAAGCCGTCGTCTAGAGCCGAACTCGATCAAACCCCGCAGTCATCTAAGATTTCAGCCACCAGAACACAGAGATTCTTCCGCCTCAAAAGACTTCAGAAAGAACAAACTAATTAAACCTGAAACGCTTAGAAGGCCTGGCCCTAAACCCAGGAACCACAAACCCTCAACCCTAAACCAAGGAACCCTTTACACCTGGGCACGGCATAGACCCAGGAACCCTAAACCCGCAACCCACAAAGCACCCCGGAAGGGAAATCCCGGAAGTTCACGGCCACGGCATAGTGGCCAGGGCGCTGGGCGGTGAGCAGGCCGATATACCTTGTTGTTATGGTTACGTTTAGGAAATGTAATTGTAGCTACTGACAACACTATCCTTGTAAGTATGATTATGCTTATGCTTATTCTTTAGTATTAGTCATATTACAATTACTGTCATCATTATTAGTATCATTTGTATATTGTTATTATGATGAGCATTACGACTATTGTTATCATCATTACTCATATTCTTATGATTCGTCGTTGTGGTCGTCGTCGTCGTCGTCGTCGTCATCGTCGTCGTCGTCGTGGTGGTGGTGGTGGTGGTCGTAGCAGCTATCATTGTCATGGTCTTAGTGGCAATGATGATCATCGTAGCAGTCGTCATCGGAGCCGAACAGGTAAACTTCCGGGCATAATGAAGTATTGGCTGCGTGGTCAGGATGGGTTATGCTTTGATTTTTGTACATGTGCACTCTTTCTGGATGCAGGTTTACTAGTTGGAAGCTGTGATGGATGCAAAACTGGGACCTTTTTTACCTTGAGATGGAATTTGAGGGTTAACGGTTAACGCATGTATTTGGCGTTGCCGTGCAAGGTTTGGTGTTTGAGTGCTGGAGTAGCCGGGCAGGGTGCCGCACGAACAGTTGAATGAAAGGCAGGAGCTGGATCTCTGTCTTGCGTTTCCTGTTTTTCTGCTTCAGCATGCCGCGCTTTTCCCTGGCTCTCGGGCTATCTCACTGTATCGGATGTTAACCTCAAATTTTGATCGCGTTCTCAACTTGATCTTGACAAGCCTTGGCCTTAAACTTGATCGCAACTTTAATGCTAGTTTGGCCGTGTTCTTCATCCTTGATCTTCATATAGCTCGCCGCATCCGGTCTGAGCTGACCTGATCTGTTGCTGTCTAGTCTTAGTCTAGTCTTGTCTGGCCTTGTCTCGTCATTTCTTATCATCCTGGCTTGTTGGCATTGGTACTGGCGTTTGCGATAACATTGAGACTATATCTTTTGCTTTTCTCTGTCGTCCTAGGAGTGTTATGGATGTTTTTTTGATCAGGATTATGAGAAGTACCCTTCTCTTTAGGTTTGGGGGCCTTTGAGCTTAAAGGGTTCGGGGCCTGTTCGTGAGGTCTAGGGCTTCGGAGGCTCGTGTAGTTTTGAAGCGTTTAGATTGCAAGATCTTTGGGGCTTAGGGTAGTAGCGTCACGAGGTCGAAGGGCTCAAAGGCATACGGTATACGGCTAAACTTTAAAGTCCAGGGTTTGAGGGCTATGAGGTTTCGAGAAACATAAACTACCCTAATATGGGGCCTTAATAATTAGAATAGAGTTTTGGGGTACTGATCATTATTGAGGCCCCTATATTAGAGCTGTCCCTGTGCCATAGCTTCTGTCGAATTGCACAAGTGATGCCAGGCGTGCGATAAACAGAATCACCTGTGTTACTGAACCCTAAACCCTAAGCCCTAAACCCGAAACCCCAAACCCTACACCCTAAATGTGCCTTGCAGTGCCCCGCCAAAACAGTAGGACACCACAAGGAAAGCCCAGGCCCCAAGCCCTCACAAACCAATCTCAAAAACCCCGAACCCTATGTTGTCCAGAGAATCTGTGCCCCAAACCCAGCACCCTAAAACCCAAACCCTCTTGATACATCCAAGTCTGTGACAACAACCGAGCTGACATATTTTCAGAAGTCGTAATCCACGAAACCCCTCAACGCGAAAAACAGCCAAAGATTTCCACCAACGCCAACAAGGCGCCCGGCCCAGGTGGTCGCTGTGTAGAGCAGCTGGCCACCCCTTCGCACACGGACGTCAATGTTCAGCGCCTCCCGCCGTACTGTGGTTAGAGCTTGGGAGCTTTAGGCTTTGAGCTTAGGGCGCCTAGGGCTTCGGGTGGTTAGGGCAAGTTTGGGGATTGTTGGGTTCTACCAGTCGCAAGAACTCCGCAATAGTGGCACGTTATAGGTTAAGCATCACTGAATAGCATGAGCGAGCTTTAGGGCGTTGTGCCCGCGCTTGACTTCCCAAGGCGCGCGGATGCCAAATCACGTCAGAAAAACATAGGCGGAGAGCCTGCTCGCGGCAAGAGGAAGCCAAGAACCCCAGCAGGAAACGAATCTTCTACTTCGGTTGAGTTACGCACTCCAAGCGGCCGGGGCAGCATTATGCAGTTTTCGCTCGGCGAGTACATGAGCCAAGCTGCTGTCGGTGTTCGGCTTCAGCTCTACTATAGGCTCTTAACCCTAAACCGGTTGCGAGCTACCAGGTCTAGAACCCTAAACCCTGAACCCTAAACCCTAAAACCCTAAAACCAAAATCCTAAACCGTGACCCCCACGCTGCCTTCAGCTCGGGGAATTCCCAATCCAAGGTACCTGGAAGCGACTGCTGGCGACCTTCCCAGTAATTCCCGGACGTGTCATGGTGTTTGCTCCGCTCATTAGAAGCGTCTCGTGGTTTCAATTCCGATGGTTGCTAGTACACTGTCGGAGTTTGCATTAAGCAGAGGAGACAGACAGACAGATAGAGAGAGAGAGAGAGCGAAGAGTGAGAGGGGAGAGGTGAGAGTGAGAGTGAGCGTGAGCGTGAAGGTGGGAGTCAGAGTGAGAGTGAGAGTGAAGTCAGCGCGAGCGTGAGCGCGGGGGCGAGCGCGAGAGTGAGAGTGAGAGCGAGAGCGAGAGGGAGTCAGAGAGAGAGGGTGTGCGCGTGTGTCTGTGCGGCTGTGTTTGCGTAGAAGAATCCTTCGTGCTAAACCGCAAGGAGCCCGAACTTCCCTAAATAAATGTTACCTGCTTTGCTCCTCCATCCAAGCCAAGCGACGGGCCAGCGCAACTGAGCCATCTGCCAGACGGGCAGCCACCGCTGTACAGGCGCAGTAGGCCTCTCTTAAAACAACCCGAACCAACACGAACGTGGCCACGTGGATGTACTCTTCTGTCGACGGCTGAACCCTGCTCTGAACCCCGAACCCCCTTTGTTGACCTCACAACAAAAACCGCTGCCTTCAACCCCACTCCGAACCTGGAGCTGGGAATTGAAGTTTTTCAAGCCTGGCCAAAGCCCCTTCCCAAAAAGTGCTTGCACACGGCCCAAGGAGGCCCCCTCCCCCCCGAGAACCTCGTACTGCAACGTCAAGCTCGCCAGCGCCTGGAGCGGCACAGCCGCTGCAGAGGCCACGCCCCGGAGCTCACTCAGGAACCTCGAGGTTTAGCGTTTAGTGGTTTAGAAAAGCAGAGTTTAAGGGATTAGAAGTTTAGAGTCTAAGGGCTTAAGTGGTTTAGAAGGTCTGAGTTTAAGCGATTAGAAGTTTAGATTTTAAGGGCTCAAGGGGTTTAGAGCCTAGGGCTTAAGGGTCCAGAAGCTTAGCGTTTAGGGTTTGGAAGTCTAGAAGTTTTGGGTTCCTCGAACGGCTCCGCTCATGGCTAGCCATCCCGGAAGTCCGAGGAGACTCTCGGGCGGGTTCCTCCCTGAAGCATCCTTTAGTGCTACAAGCACATAGCTGAAAGGTCATACCGTATCGGCAGTTGAAGATCATTCATTCAATCATACGTATATATATATATATGTGTATGTATGTGTATATATATATATGTATATCTATCTATCTATCTATCTATATATATATATATTTTCTATTGGTGTATCTTATCTATCTATCTATCTATAGTCTATAGATCTATTCATTCATTTATCTGTTTTTGAATTTAAGTCTTTCTTGATGCAGTTCATTTGCTTGTTGGCTTATATAACACGGTTGAACTTTCCGTGACGAGGATCCAATGGCTTGAACCCGGTGCCTGATCACTTGATAGAATACCTCCACACCTTCCTATCCTCGTGATATTCTCCTTGCCCTGATTGAAGTGTCACTGTTGACCTAAACCCTAAACCCTAAGCCCTAAACCCTCACTATTGTCCTGGAAACGAGGGCACCCGGCACTGATGCGAAGCTCGGCAAGACCCCAGATGGGCTTGGACCTCCGTTGCCCAGCCCTGCAAACCTTTGGCAGCCTTGTCTGGGGTTTAGGGTTTAGGGTTTAGGGCTTAGGGTTTAGGGTTTAGGGTTTAGGGTTTAGGGTTTAGGGCTTGATACAAATCCGCGAAGCTCCACAAGAGCAAGCTTGCCGAGAAGCTCGCTGAGAACACCCTCACCTTGGCTGCGGCCGGTTACTTCATGAACGAGCCTAGGCTAGGGGCCGGGGCTTTCCCACAGGGTTCCTCGGGGATGGATAGGTCTTTGGATTTATGGCCCGCGGTCGGCTGCACAATAGGATGTGGGACCTGCAGCAAGAAGGAGGGTGCAATAGAGCATACAGAACAGCTACAGAAAGATTCAATCAGATGACACACACCAGCATACCAACGCAAACCGCACAAATTGCAAGAGGTGCTGTTGCCCAACACCTTGATGGCCGGCAGGCATTGCTGTTGGGATCAGCTGGACAAGTTAAGCAAAGGTCTCTGCAATTTCCCGCTGGCCCCCGTATCCCTACATGATCCTAGATGCATTGAACCCAGGGGCAAGCATTTTTCGCTGAGGCAGCAGCTGCAATGGGGAGACCCCACACATGGTAATCCGACATCAGAGGGCCATCTCAATAGGAGATGGTCCTCCAGGCCCGCAAGGAATTTCAGACCAGAACGGCGAAACCCGCGGTCACTGAAAGGGCACTGACTCGCAGTAGTTTGCATGCCCTGCGGTGTCGCTCGCGCTTCCACTTTTTGCAGTCCGGCCGGGATGAACTGAACACGACACGACGGTCCACGGAAAGGTTACAGAATCAAAGCAACCAGTTGCAAGCTAAGGGTTCAAGGCTTCTCTCTTTTGGCTTTTGTTGCCCTCGCACTTGCCGCAATATTTAGGCCGTCGGATCTGGAAATGTGTCTCGTTGTCTGCATGGAGCTTCTGCACACAGAGATCTCCACAAAGGGACACGTGGTGGCCAGGATGCTGCCCGAGCACGATGAGTCTCCAAGTTCCATAGATTCCAACTGCTGCTACTTTGGTGAGATTTGGGACTTTCCGAAAATTACGGGTACCTTACTTTGGGGTCTTTATTGTAAGGATCCTACTGTTGAGGGCACTGCTGACTTCTTCTCTCTTGCCAAGTATCCTAAGGGAACCAAGCGTTAACCTTCGGAAGTGTATACGGATACTAGTAAACCAGAAGAGGTTCAGGTTAAGGTTACCGGTACTGGGTTCTTGCGTAGTTAGGCTTAGTTGCCTCAACCCCGAACCCCTAAACTGCCTGAGCACCACATCCGAGGTCCACCAGCGCCGATGGAAGTTCATTCGACGGGAGCATGTGGAAGCAATCATGACCACGACACACTGGGGGCATCTCCGAAGCTGATAACCGTAAACCCCAAGCCCTAAACCATAAGCCTTAAAGCCTAAACCCTTTCATAAACCCTTTCATAAACCCTATGGGCCCTAGGCCCTAAACCCTAAGACCTCGAGTGTGGTGTGTGGTTGACGCTTCAAAAAAAAGTGGGGAAAGGGTGCAAAGCGAAATGTCGCAGGACCCTGTCGACTCCTCAGAGCGGTGTCGCTGTACGTCTGCTGAAGATGAAGGGTTTAGGCACCAAAAGGTTTAGGTTCAGGCAAGACCGTTTAGAAGAATCAAATAGACCTGAAACGCACCAAAACCAGAAAACAAGCAAACCCAAAACGCACAGAGCCACGATGCTGGACTTCAATGGAGGACTGCTCATCACAACTTTTTTATCTTACAACTACATGCTGACCTACAAGAACAGCTCACCGTGTCACGTGGAAACACCTGCGGCAGAACGGGGCGTGCGGGCGCCCTGGATCCTAAACCCTAAACCCTGTATTGACTGGTGGTTACAATAGGAATGATAACAGTACGTAATGGCTCCTCGCGCTCACTTACCACTTCATGTTAACACTGGCGTCCGTTCTCGCATCTGTCCAGCTGCGTCGGTTGGGACTTAATAACAGAAGAAATCGTAGAATTAGGTGCTGACATGAACTGTGCCGCACGATCTGGGGGATCGCAGGGGTCCAGAGAATTGGGCCCGGGGCTTTCAAGACCCGGGCTCGCATCGCACATGGAAGAACCTATTCCCGACAGAGCCAAGCACACCGCAAGCTTCTTGAATAGTGTGATGATTCAAGGGAGATGCTTGGGCTCTGTGGGGTGCAAATCATCCTTCAGATCCCCGATTTCCAGATTACAAGTGATCACTTCTGCATGCGAAGATCTTTGGGGGGGTTATGTAGATCCTGGGCATGTGAAGGACGGCCACGCTTGTCTCCGAAACCAATGACAACCCGTCACGTGTTAATGCGTCCTGTCTCCGAGGAGGAAGGCAACATTCAGAATACTGAAGAAGATGTGAGAGAACTCAGAACGAGTCGCATTTTCACGCGTCCTGCCTGCTCCACAAGCTTCTAACTGGAGAAACGCGGCTCATCCGAAAAGTCCAAAGCTTCATAGGCTTCAACTGGCAACTGCAAAATCTTACTTGCCAGAGGTTTTTGTAACAGAGATACCGAACCGGACGAATCGGGAGCATTTGCGACGATCTCCACATGGCGAAAATCCGAGCCTGCAGGCCCTAAACAAAACACAAAGGACTCAAGAAAGTCCCCGTAACATGATTCGAGAATGAATTTTCCCAGCACTAGAAGTGTAGAGGCATCTCGACTGCCATGTGGCAGTGCTGCCGGGCCATCGACTAGTAGACCCGACACCGACATGCCGAAGCCTGATGACGAGGACGCCACCAACTAAGCTCCAAAAAGGAAGGCTCTTATTTACAGAAACTCCTTGCCCAGCTGGCCGCCAAAGCCCTAAGATGAGCAGCAACAGCAGATAAGGCACTTGTGCACTTGTCACTGGCTTCCTGGAAGATCGAAGGTGGAACGCTTCAGTGCGACGACAGCGCGTAGCTGCTTGGGATGCTGCTCAATCTCATTCAAGACGCTGTTCAGCTGCTTCACCCACTTGACGTGTGTGCACCTGATGGGTGCGCCTGTGGAAGCTTTGGAGGCCTTGGTCCGGTCGTCCATGGAGTGAAAGCTACGACGCCGCTCTGGGAAGTCCACTTCGGGAGACGACAAGCCGTCTTCATCCCGAAAGACTGCCCGGGGGGTGTCTTCAACCGTGGCCACGGATGTGGCACAGCCCATGGAATGAGGGGTTTTCTGAGACTCTGAGACCCTTCGAGCCGAAAGCTTCAGAGAGCCGTGGCCTTAGGGCGGCTGCGCCATGTGAGACCATGATGTGTCGGCCGAGACCTGGTACTTGTGAACTTGGGACGTGACCGGCCCAAAAAACTCCGGCTCTCGATTCGGGGGCTTCATTTTATGGGAGGCCCTCCACCCGAACACCTGGCAGGTCCCTCAGAGGAACTGAGGCACCCGGAAAGGGTGCCCCGGTAAGAACTTGTTGTGGGAACGAATGCATCAGGATCAAAAATCTCAGCGCGCTCATGACGAGCGGCTCTGCTGCAGAAGCCTCAGCGCTTCCGAGGCAGCGTAGCGCGCGATGCGCCGCTCGGGGTCCTCCTGTTCGGGTTGGCTGCTCTCAAGAGCCAGCAAGATATCACTCAAAACCCCTCAAAATTCAAGAGATGCCCTCTAGCATGTTATGCCTGTTATGCTTTTTGCACATTCCAATGCTGCAGATGTACAGCAATCAACATCAGAGCAGCAGCAGCAGCAGCAGCAGCAGCAGCAGCAGGAGTGAGCACAATTGGCACTATGATTATTGACATCACCACCGCGACCCACAATATCATCAGCATTCCACCACAGCAATGACAAACCGGCCCTCATAATGCCTTTATGCCCTATGCCCCTATCGCAAAAATCCCCATTTAAGCCAAAGATGTCCTATCTATCCTCCAACGCCTCCCGAGGCAGAGAAGCCTAAAATCCCAAACCTGAACCTAAACCCTAACCCTCGACCCAACAACCAAAAAGCAAAAAAAGGCCCTAAACACCTCTCCAATCAGACATCGCAGGGCGCCTTGCGCCTCCGGCGGCCTTTCCGGCGACTGGGCGGCGCCTCTGCCAGCGATTGCTGCCACTCCTGGGCCGGGTGGGAAGGCCAGAATAGAAGGGGTTTCAGCACTCACACTCGGACAAGCCTAGGCGAGGATTCTGGTACGCGGCGACAGCACATTGGCCTGAACGTAGGCACCTATGGCCCACAACATTAACTACCCCCAGCGAGGGTGTAGGGCTTAGGGGGCTTCTTCGAATTCCAGTCTCGGATCGTTGCAAAGCAACCCTTGCTTGAAAACAAGCCTCATAGGGTCTTATGCTCTATATTCGGGCTTTAGAATGGCTTATGGGGTTGCGTAACAAGCAATTTAAGTACCTCCTCTCCATTGCTGAATGCTAGGCAGGGTCTTTGGCAAAGCCTCCCGAGTAAGTTCAAACTCGTCAATGGCTAATAGCGCTTGCGGCGCAGGGTGAAAGGCCGAAACCTAAAATACAAGACGAAGGCCCCCAAAAAAACCCTCAAGGGATCCTTCAGAAAATCAGGACCCGAGAATACGTTCTAAGCGGTAGTAGGGTGAGTAATGCAAAGGACCCCCGAAAAAAAAATACCATCAGTTCAGACGCCCAAATACGGAATGGGAAATGGGTTTGGGGTCGGTGGAAGTGCTTTGGTGTTCGCAACCTCACTCTGCAAGTTACCGGCCCCCAATTTAAAATCAGACGACCGACGCTGACAGCTCACTGAAACAATGACGGTCAAGTGCAAAAACAAAGACAACCCAGAAAGCCCAATACGCCCTAATTCAGGAGTACAGCTTTAATCCCTGTATGAAGCTCCTTCCAAACAAAGGTATTTCCCTTAATTAAATGGTATTGAAGCAACCATTTCGGTAGGGGCGGGGCTTTGTGGCACTCCAGTGAAACGCGAGCACGATAAGTGCCAAGCTTCCTACGGATGCGGCTTCTTCTTTTTGGCGCTCGTTGCCACCACTAACAGTTGTAACAATACTGTTGGCCAGTTCGTGCCGAGCATCCGCGAGCTTCTGCAGCGCGGGGGCATATGCCTGGTTGTCCACGGCTTTTCTGGAGTTTAGGAGTTCAGGCTCAGGGTGCCAAAGCCGGCAACTTCTCTTATAGACAGGCCACTCGCCTTCGTCAGGCGTACATCGAGACAAGTCGAAAGCCCTCTGAGCCCTCTCCGGGCTTTTAAGACAAGAAGAGACCCCGACCCGATCCGTGCAAGTTCACGGTTTCACTAGGGTTTAGTATGCATTTAGGGTTTGGGTTTAGCGGTTTAGCGTTTAGGGGCTGACGGGGGGTTTTCTGGTCTGTTAGGTTTTTTGAGGCTGGGTCTTCCTGATGGCGGTTTAAGGTTCGATTCAATTCTGAGAATTTTCGCTTTGTTTCGTGGCTCCTTCGACTCTGAGCTCACACTTCGAGTTCTCTTTTAGGGCTTTACTTCAAGGCTCCTTGTGGGGTTTACTTGAAGCCCTCACGCCGAAACCCCCCTGGATCCTCAGAACGTACGGGAGAAGCCCAGGAGGGCCCCAAACTCTGACGGCTGAGAGCTTTGGGCTTAGGGTTGAGGGTTTAGGGTTCAGGGTTTAGGGTTTATAGGGATTGGGGATTAGGGTTTAGGGTTGAGGGTTTAGGGCTTAGGGTTTAGGGATGACGCTTCAACTTGGGCTTCTTACACCAAAAAAACTGTGCGAGACCCCAAGGCCCTAACATTGCGACACTGCTGATGCCGTAGACGCACTACACATCCCAAGGCGGCATCCATAGACTAAGCCCCCACAACACCACGCCCCACCTATGACATATAGCAGCTACAACCTGCTACAAGAGCTTAGGAAAAACAACGCATCCGACTGAGATAAAGAAAAGTTTTAAACACTGATAGAGAAACCTTTCTAGAACCCCAAACAGCCCCCAGCATGGGCTCCTCGGCCACATTCCGCCACCGCTCGACCGGATCCTTCACGAAAAAAGCCGTTCCGCGCTTCGTGTTGCTTAAGCTAGGAAGTTCGGCCGGTCTGGGTTCAGGAATTTTGGGGCATGCGGCCTGTCGGGCTGTTGGGAAAGCCTACGTCCATCACCTAAACCCCCACCCGTCCCCGGCGTCTCTCCCTCAGACCCATTCTTAAATTCTTCAGGCCACTACGCACACTTTCGAGGCTCCCCAAACTCCCTGAGGTCCGCATCCAGATCCACATCAAAGACTGGCAAAGTGGCAGCCGGCTCCATGGCAGGCAAAGCCGGCTCAGGTCACCAGGGCTTTTTTTGGTATGGCCTGTTTTTTGAACTACTATGCTGTCCGTCTCGCATGAACGGTTTAGGATTTAGGGCTTCTGGGGTTTCGACTCTCACTCTCTCTCTCTCTTTTGTTTTTTGGTTTGGGGTTCCTGGGGCTTCTTGGGGCTTTAGGGATGCCATTTTGGAGGGGTCTCGAGATGAAGCTCCGTAGGGCCTACTAAGGCCCAGGGTCCGGCTAGGGTGTGGCCGTTCCACATTCAGGCCTTACCTTTTGGAGGTTTTTCTAAAGATAACGGAAGATGCTTAAGAGGGGTGTGCTGCAATTCTACAGCTGTACCCGGAGTCAGGACTGGCTAGCCCTTCTGTGTTCTTCCAGTCTCCTCAAGTCCCCTTGAGCAAGCGACCGACGCATTCTTCTTTTGGCTGCTCCGTGCTGAAGGCTGTCCAAAAGCCTCGACCCCTTGTGCTGTTCAGGGACAAGGCTCAACGGGTCTGGGATCTAGGATCAACTTCAAGTTTCCGTACTTGCAGCGCCCTTGTCGCAGCCCAGCATCCCAAACCCGCCACCCCCAAACCGCGAAACCTCTCTCTCTCCCAGGAATGGTAGCCCGAGCCATGCCCCGCGAACCCAGGAGGCGGCTGAGCTTCTGGACCCCACGAATCCGTTCCTCCCAGGATGCTTGAAGCACTGGTCATCGTGGCCCTCCATGTTCAAGCCTGGACCCATGCACAACTACAAGAACAAGGAAAAGGAAAGGCGGAAGAAATAGAAGGAGAGCTCAAATACGAACTACACAAGTCATACCAGCATCCCAACCTACCCCGGGAATGGGCAGAAAGGAAGTGCAGGCATCAGGGCAAGGATAACAGCAAGAGGGCTGCTGGCAAGAATCGAAACAGTGATCTAATGATATCACTGGAAGTGGTGCTGACATTCCGGGCGTTCAAGGCCTCGTGCCAAACAGAGGGTGAACTAGGTTCCGGCACGTTCCCACACGGATGCATGATGACTAGTGACTACTCAAAGCGCTTCCAAAGCATGGGGCAAGCGATTCTGGGACTTTACGCCGATGATACTAGTGTAACTGCCGCATGAGCATGGCTTCAGTCTGAAAATAATCGTCATCACCCGCCGCATCATCGACATCATCAGCATCATTAACAGGGGTGTTGGTGGTTTTGGTGGTTTTGGTGGTGACGGCGGCGGCGGCGGCGGCGGAAGTGGTGATGGCAAAACTAATTCAACATGACAGCACATCGCCGTGCAAGGAAGACAGCTGAAAGAGCAACGTGCAAAAAGGCCGACATGGTCAAGCGGCGAAGAAGTTCGGCAACAAGCCAAAACTAGGAAGCCAGTATCGATGACCCTCCCACCAGACCCTCCCCCCAAACAGAGATAGCTTTCGACCTACGTTGGGCCTAGCAGTGGTTCATGCACCCTGAAGCTTCTCGAGGCATAAAAAAGGCAAAACGAACATCAAGGAATCAGTACTTGTGCTTTTGTGTTTCTTTTGTGCTTCGCTTTCTTTCGAAATGTATCGGAGTGCTTCTACTCACAATGGCTCGGTTTGCTTCTGCCTGAGGCATTTCGATATTTTTCCGAAGTATTTCGAAAGAAAACGATGCACAAAGAACACAAAGACACAACTTGATGTTGTTTGTTGCCTGTTTGTGCCTCGAGAAGCTTCTTGGTGCGTTTGCCACTTCTGGGCTCACAGTAGCTCGAGAGCTATCTCTGTTTAGGGGGGGTGGTCTGCCGAGGGGGCTTAAGAAACCTATCGGTGAAAATGAACCCCAAGCCCTAAACCACAAACTCTTCATGTCCTTTTCTTTTTCTCTCAGAAACTCTCAACGCCTTAAAACCCCTATGAACCTTTCAAGCGGTGCTCGAACCCTTGTAAAAATCCTTCCGGCAGCGTGCACCTTCCTGGACGCAGCGCTTCCCCAAGCGCACGTACCAGCCTCGGTCATTAAACTAAGGTTGGTGTTGGCACGTAGGGGTTTGAGGTGTACAGGTTTAGTTGGCTTTTCGATGTCAGGGAATTTAGGGTTTGAGGGTTTGGGGAAGCGGGCTTAGGGAAAGATTCGGGTTGTTCATTTCTCCGCAAGGCAGGCACTGTCAGGATAACGGTAGCGCTGGCGGTTCCGAGGACGATGCCAACGGGGCACGAGGGCACGAGGGGCCCTAACCCTGGACCCTTGACCTTCACCCTCGCCCTACGCCGTCAACTCTAAACTCTAAACCCTGCCCGTCAACTCTAGACCCCAGGTCCTGGGTTGAGGGTTTAGGGTTTAGAGTAAGACCTCAAATCCTAGGCCGTAGGCTCTAAACACTCTGAGCCTCATCGCAGAGTCGGAGGCGTAAACCGACACCAGGGTGCACCCCAAGCCCCGTAGTCGGGCCCTAAACCCTATACAACCTAAACCGCCCACCCCAACAAACGAAACTCTGACAACACTTCGGAGCCGTGAGAACCTCCCCCAACATTGCAACATCCTGATCCCCAAACCCTAAGCCCCCTTAGCCTAGCATCCTCACCCCAACATCCCAAGCCCCCAAACCACTAGCATAAGTAGGGTCCCTTTTTCGGGTGCCCCAAAAGAGTATGACACCCGAAATCGAAGCCTAATTTGGAATATCTTCCTTCGGTTTTTGGGTTCCCGGTTCAGCGTGCAGGGGTTTTTTTTCTGGAGAGACCTGCCCCAAGAGCTCTGAGGGCTCTGAGGGCGAGTCGGTCCCCTGGATTCGTCAGCGACCTGGGAGATGGCGCTCGATGAAAAAAAATAGGGGTCCCTTGAAAGGAATCCTTAAAGGGATCTATAAAGGGATCTATAAGAGGGTTTAGGGTTTAGGGTTTAGGAGGGATCCTTAAAGGGAATCTATAATTAATAGGGTTCTATATAGGGACCTTAGTGGTTCGAAGAAGGCTTTGGGGTCCACTATAGTTTGAATTAGGAAACCTAAAAATGGTATTGGTCACTACTTACTGTAGGGCCCTATAATAGGGTGTTCTTTGCAGCTCCCTTTGAATGTCTGCCAGCCCTGATCTCAGGACTACTGCTGATGATATAAATCCTGCATTACCTTAAGGACCCTAAACCATGGGAATTATGGCATGCTCCTTATTATGGGTAATGCAGGATTTATATCATCAACCGTAGTTTAACGTTCTTGTTGCCTCCTGCATGGCTAGCGAGTCGCGAAGCAGAAAGGTTTTCAGCACTCACAACTAGGACGGGTTTAGGGTTTGGGGTTTACGCTCTCACAACTCGGACAAGCCAGGGTTTGGGGTTTAGGCGTTAGGGGTTTAGCGGGGAGCTGAGGTGCTTGGGCTCCAGAGTCTTGTTGTGTTTAGAGCTTACAAGGGAGCTTCAGGTTGATTGTCTTCGGGCGTCTCAGGCTGGTTGTGTTACATCTAATTTCAGTTTTTGCAGTTCGGAAACCTCAGCTTAAGAAACGAAAAGGAACTGTGGTCCTGTTTGGTGGGTCCTCTGATGGACAGGGGCCCCTTGTTGCTTGACACTCCCAACTTCTGCTAACTGCCCGACTTTTCTCCGCAACCTAAACCCCAAACCCTAAACCCCCTCGGCACACGGGGACTTTTCGCCGCGCACTTCGGGGCCACGCGTCAGCGCTTCGACGACTTCACCCGTGGCTCCGGGACCTCGTATCTTTCCGCCGAGCTCGAATGGCTCGGGAATTCGGGGCGTAGGGCGTAGGGTTTTCGCTTCATCCATGGCGGCTGACGCCGAAATCTATCAACCCCCTAATTTAGCTCCTATAGAAACCCCTAAACCCCTAAACGCAAAAACCCAAAACCCTAAACCCTCCCCTCCCCTGCATAAATCCCAAAACCCAACCAACCCCCCCTACACCCTAAACCCCAAAGCCCTAAACCCTGAACCCTAAACCATTTTGCATCCAGGACTCACCCTAAACCCTAAACCCCAAAACCCTAGACCTACACCCGCGGGGAGCTTCCGGAAGTCAGGGAAGGCCCCGCCTCGTCGGAATCCCAGGCGTCCGGGACCTCGACCTCGACCTCCACCTCGGTTCAGGGCTTCAGGGCTGTAGGGTTATAGGGCTTTAGGGTTTGAGGCTCGGGTTTAGGGTCTAGAGTTGAGGTTTTAGGGTTTAGGGTTTAGGGTTGAGGGTTTAGGGTTTTAGGCTTTAGTTTAGGGTTTAGGGTTCAGCGCCTTAGGTTTAGGGTTGAGGGTTTAGGCATGAGGGTTTAGGGCTGAGGGTTGAGGGTTTAGGCTTTAGGGTTGAGGGTTTAGGCTTGAGGGCTTAGGCTTGACTGTTTAGTGCTGAGGGTTTAGGGGCCTCCACTTCCACTTCGTCATTTGCTTCTCCCACACTGGCGCCGCCCCCGGCTGAGCCACCATCCTCCTCCTCGCCATCATCGCCCTCGACAGTCTCCACCTGCTGACTTTGGGGGACACCATCCGGCCCTAAAGATTCGCCCGTTTCTTTTAAGATAATATAAGATAATATAAGATAGTATAATATAATACACTAGAATATCATATAATATAACCCCTCTGCCCCCTTTCCTTGAAGCCATAGCACTCGGGACTCGAAAGACCTCCCTCTTATGGCCCCCCTGCCTGCTCTGCAAAGAGGCGACTCAGCCCCTGGGCCGTGTCGAGCATCAGCGGCGTCGGCGTGGTTCCAACGGATCGATCCACGAAGCTTGCAACGAGGCCACGCAGGCTTTGCAACACGTCTGCAACTTTCACATCCACCGCGACGTGGGATTTTGGTGAGAGCTCAAAGACCACGCGGCGCCCTCGGTGTACTTCTTTCAGTGCGGGGGCGAACAGAAGCAGAGGGGCCAGGCCCACCACAGTTGTGTCATACATGAAACGATCGGTGGTCTCTTGGATCTCATAGAAAACCACTTGGGTCCACTCTTCCTTGGAATTCACACTGCCTTAGCTTTGGCATGTTGGCCATGTTCTGTCAAAATGATGGACCGCAACCATCGGTGCAGGCTCTACAGGAAGGGCGAGCCCTTCTCCCAAAAGCAGCGAACCAAAAATAACATGATTCGGCTCTTAGAGAAAGATCGTGTTCGGGCTGGATCCATTTTCCGGCTCCCTATAGTCTCAAACTCCCATCCCGAAGCTGCCTGGATGGACCACGACTGGCAAGCCCTGGATCGTGTGTCCCTTGCCCCGTCGACGCAAAAGTGACACGTTGGGGTACAGACCCGCAGTCAGAACCGCTTTGCAGGAGTCTGCCAGAAGGACCGGGTCCCCATGATCCTGCGTGCGATGATGTATGGAGACACCCCCGCACTCGCAGATCAGAGCCTATTCTACCATTCCGATAGATGCGGGCTGTCGGCAATTCCGCATTCACACAGCGACTACCAGCAGTGCTCTTGCTGCTAGGATAGCTCTGCCCGCCACATCTATATATGCGGCGCTCAGCCGGAACAAGCAACGCGAGCTGACAACCCCCACAAACACCATCGAACCGAAGGAGAAGAGATATATTGCTCTAAAATACGGGCCCCTGCACGACCCATAAAACGGACAGAAGCTCCCCAAGCTGAGTGAATTATTCTCGTCCCCCTTTCAAGCCCGAAACAAGAGAGTTGGCAGGATAAGGGCCTGAGGCACATTCCTCAGTACATCCTTTGAAGCTGACAGAAGATCCTCGCGCAGGCGATGGATGTAGTCCTTGCTTGGTCGATGGAGTCGATGGGAGCATAAGATCAAGGGCTAAGGCGACTGAGGCTGTGCTTGGGTCGCGGGCCCATGGGAGTCATGGGAGTTTTGTAAGTTGACGGAACCTAGTAAAGCAGCCCCTGTTCCTGAACAGAGGGAACCTCAGATCTCGCAATAAAACGCAAGCCGAGGTGTCCATCGTCTGGTGGGAGAGGAAGTTTTGACGCGCAAAGCCAGCCTTGCCGCGCTTCCAGCCCTCGTAGGCCTGACTGAGCACACGGATTGCACGTACTGACAAATGAAGGTTTTTAGGTGTGGACGTATTGTATAATCTAGTAGTGCAACATAGCATATTATGGCCCATAGCAATATATTATCGCGTATAGCACGGTTTACTGTAGTATAGTACAGTAGAGAGTAGAAGTCTAGATTCCCTTTCCGGGATATCCCCCTTTTACCTGATCATTCCCGACGTCTATATTCGGGCTTCAGGATTGCAAGTTCTTCGTCCCGTTTCTGTCCGCGACAGGGAACGTTGACCAAGGCGATGAGGTCCGACTTGGACCCGTCGGCCAGGGCGGCCTTCGCCTGATTTGCCTCTTTTTCCAGACCCATGGGGCAAAGAAAGGGTGACTTGTATCCCAGAGATGCGCAAATCGTAACCATCATGTGGTAGCACTTGAACGGCACTGCCAGCAGCAGCATCTTCGCCAGCATGGGGTGGACCTGTATCTTCGCCAGTGCCGCACCCAAAGGCGTCAGGGTCTTCCCGGTCGGGTCCGTCACAGCTCCCAAGCCGTGCAGTAGCTTCAAGGCATGACGGACCACGTCCCCTTTCGGAGGGCTGATGGCCTCTCGCAGGAAGTCGGCCGGTGGGCCCAGGCCCAGGGACGAGACTTCCATGCAGAGCTCCTCCAAAGGAGAGCGCTGCATCTCCGGCAGGGCATACTCCTCCATGGCCTCCCATTGACACGAGCTGAAGAGCCGATACCAAACACCCGGCCGGCAGCGTCCGGCACGCCCCCGTCGCTGGAAGCCATTCGCCTTGGAGTACCACACGGTCCGAAGCGCTGAGATCATCGAGGTCTCGTTGAAAAAGGTGGTCCGTGCACGGCCGGGGTCGATGACGTACACAATGTCTTCCACGGTGATCGATGTCTCGGCCAGAACCGTTGAGATCACGATCTTCCGTCGCCCAGCTGGCGAAGGCCTGAAGATGGCCTGCTGCTCCCATGTGGGGATGCGCGAGTGCAGAGGATGTATTGCCAGCTGGTGCTTGCAGCGACACTTCTCAAGGCGTTCGATGGTCTGAGTTATCTCAAACCATCCCGGCATGAAGATGAGAACGCCTCCTTATCTGCTGAGCAGGCGAACCCTTGAAGACTTCTCAGGGTTGCACAGACCCTCCGTACAAAATTCATGAACTGTGCAACTCAGCCGCCTTCTTTACCGGAATCGTGGATTGCCTGCACCAGAGAGGCCGTCAGGTCATAGTCGATGTTCTGAGCCATCTCCCCATGCACATCGGCGATGTCCCAGACGACATCCTCCGCAAAACCCAAGCCCGAAGCAGTCAGCAACGGAGAAGGGCCCCGTGGCACCGGGCCGTTACCCCCCCGCCACACCTACCCGAAACCTTCGACCGAAGAAGTGAACCATCGTCGGGCATCAGGGCTTTAGGATGTTTCTAGGCCTCTAGCTTTACGGACTGGCAGGCCGGGACCGACCCTCAAACTAATACCATAGTAGTACTACCAAGACTATGAATATGATTAGTACTACTCATGCTATGTTTTGATACTGCGTCTTACAGGGTTCTACAAAGGTTCGGGAATACTACCAGTCCTCTGGCAGATGTGGGAATGCAGCTCTGATTGCCGCCGACCCTTGGGGGACACCAGGCAGTGGCCCCATTGCGAAAGCGGATGCCTCCACGTGGGTCGTTCGAAAGTCGGGGTGACGATATTCTACGGTTGCGCACCTCCCGATGCGATGGAGTTGACGATTTAAGGATTGTTGTTTAGGTTGGGCCTTGCAGCTGGAGGTTTACGCTCTCACATCCATGGTCTACAAAAACCTCGGCGTGAAATGATGGGAGATGGCATTCAAACGTGCTCCTGCAAGACTCTACGAGTGCCGTTCATGTCATAGACATCATCACGATGACTACGCTGCACCTGACAGCACGGTCTACACACTGGCTCACCACCCTCTCTACAATCACTGCCTCAGCATGGACGGTTCACATTTATTCACACAATATTGCAGCCGGCTATTGCTTGTACTTTGGCTTTTTCGGGGATTGGAACTTCTTTCGGGCTTGGTGTTGTGGACATTCTGCTGTTGTCTGTCATGAAACCGATGAATTATTATCCGCGTTGCTATTGCTATGGTGCCTATTACTACTTTTTAATGTGAAGCTCTGACTATTATATGACTATTCCTCCATGATTATCGTTACTTTGGCTCCTTGTCCTTGTTGGCATCTAGGCGCTTGGGGCTTCTTCCAGCTTGGGCTGCTTCGACTGTGGACCGATGGCCTTGCTCCACTGCTGCCGCCGAGCATCCCGCCATGCCTCCAAAAACCACCCACCCTAAACCCTAAACCCAAGCCCTAAACCCTAAACCTTAAAAAAGGGGCCTTCATTATTGGAACAAGGCTTGAGAGGTTCCCTGACAAAGGGATCTAAAAAGGGTCTCTTTCAACGGCTAATAAATGGGATTAGTATTAGGGGCCTTAAATAAGTACTATAAGGTTACCTTAGTTACCTTATCCTTTCTGTAGAAGGAATGAACCTAAGGAAGAGTATTGGTAATTTTTCCGACCCCATATTAGAGGGTGTGAAGACTTGTAGCCTCAGGGTGTAAAGGTTTAGCCTCAACTCGCACTGGCTGGTGGAGGACCGGGAACCCTGAACCCAATCCCAAAACAGAAAAGCAGCGGCACCCGAGGGTCTAGCAGGCGGCCTGGCGACTCTGCGTTGAGAGCTGAGGCAACAAGTCTTCCTCCAGGCCACTCCATCAATTGCTGTCGACGAACACAGCTATCACTACTACTCCTGCTGCTGCTGCTACTACTACACTGTTATCATAAGTGTCTTTGTTATTACACTATGACTATTGCTACCATTGTCAACTTATGCAAATACAACTATGAGCTTGTACTGAGGTCAGGGTTTGGATTTTTTGGAATCAGGCTTTCCTGCTGCTGACTACACAAGATAGTAATAGTTGAATGACAACAAGACTGGTCGGGAACATCATAGCAAACGTTAGGTTGACAATGGCTGACGTCTCGATGCAAAATGGTGGAACCCTGACATAAAGATGGGCAGGACTAAGAACTGCGAGAAGAGCACTACAGCAAAAGAAGCGGCGAACTTCCATAACTAGCAATGCGCAGCTCACAAGTACATGCAGGGTTCTCGTCGCAAAACGGTGAATAGCAACACGACTACGTGGGTAAGCTGCACAAGCAGCAATCGAGAGTAAGCTATCCGACAAACCATGAAGCGGGTCAACAACCGGTCCAGGAAAAGCTCTTCGATGGGGTAGTTGGTCTTGCCCGGAATGCTCACCGTCCTGATGCCTGGTTAGAGTGGCATCGGGCTGTTGTTGCAGAAAACGCTGCCTCCATACACGAAGGGGTCTACCGGGTGGAGGATCATGATCCCGATGATAGGCGATACTCACAGGGCGTAACGCAGCTTTGTCGCCATTGAAGTATCCTTGGAACGCTGACGGGTCCACTGTCGCCGACATGAGGATGATCTTCAGATCCGCTCTGTGGTGCAAAACCCGTCGCAGCAAGGTCAGCAAAAAGTCCGTGTGTAGGTCTCGCTCGTGCACTTCGTCGACAATCACGTGGGTTGCACCTGTGTCACAGGGCTTCACGGCTCTGCAGACTCTAGCATTTCGCCGGTTTGGACTATACCGGCAACCAAGACCCTTCCTCCACCCAAAGTCCTGTCTTTCGAACCGCAAACCCCAAGGCCGCAAGTCCCCATCGCCCCGGGAAAAGTCTGTACAGAACTGATATCCAAAAACTGCAAAATTTTAGACCCCGAGCAACTGCGAACATAACCACACTTGCCGAAAATAAACCAAAGGACAGCCCAAATCAGCCCCTGTCGGTCCTCAGCCCCCAAAGCCACCCATTGGTCCTGAAGAACAACCCCCCAACCACCATTAGGGTTTAGGGTTTAGGGTTTAGGGTTTAGGGATAAACCCTTTTTTTCAACAGGCTTGATTGGAGCTCGCCCTGTCAAATCCCGTGGCGAGATGCGCAAAGCTAAGTACGCACAATCCTCACGATTNNGTTGAAAGAGCTGACGAACTGATAAATCTGATAGCTGGAGCCATGAAGCTGTTGTAAAGCATCGCCTTGACTCTGCAGAAGACCTGCATAGACCCTAAATCCCGAACTCGACACTCAACGACTGAACACCCCAAAACCATATAAACTCCTAGTCCCAAACTGGAGTCTGCAAAACCTAAACAAACCAACAGCCTACATCCTCAGGCCCTACAAGACACTCCGAGGTCCTGATATACATCAACTAACTTTCGTTTTGGACTATTGAATTTCAAAGTTTGGGGTTGGGGTTAAAAGTTTCGGGTTTGGGGCTTTTTGGGGTCGTAATCATGTCTGGGCGGAACCACGCCTTCGAGATTCGGGTTGACGCCCATCACCTTCAGAAGGATGCCCACGGTGCAGAGCACCACTTGCGTCGAGTGTGTGACGGTGTCCTGGGTTTAGGGTTCAGGGGTTTNNTTAGGGTTTAGGGCTTCGGGGGCTGTTTTCGTTAGCTCCATGCCCGGGAACAAGAAGTTTTTTACCCTATCCATCCCTTGTCGGACCTGTACCTTCACAAGCGTCCGACCGCGTTTAGAACCCTTAAAACCATTGCAAAAAAAAACTGTAAACCCCGTTAGAACCCGTACAAAAACCTAAAACCTTTGCCACAATTCCAACCAAGTCTGCCCGAGCACTGTTACACAACCCTGATGTGAAAAAACTTCCAAACTTCCTATCCGTAAACCCCAAATCCTAAACCCT